ACACAATGAGGATATTAAGAAGCCGTCATGCGACATATTGATAGCTGCCTCCGAATGAGAGAGAGAGAGAGAGTGAGATGGAGTGCGAAAGAGTGAGCTGGAGAGAGAGAGAGAGTAAAAATTAGGGGAAAACAGAAACTATAAGATAAACATATACACAAAAAGTTGGACAAAATGCACAGACATAATTGTGGAATTGATAAGGAACGGGAGAGAGAGAGAAAGAGAGAGAGAGAGAAAGAGAGGTACATCGGATCGGTAGTTGCCGTTGCAAACGCTGCTGCTCTTTTCATAATGTTATCCGAATGCACCGAAATTAACATCAATAGCAACATCAGAAAGTACACGAGCATCAAATTTGGCTTGCCAGTCTTTTAATTAACAGCCTAATTGTAAGGAGTTACTACTAAAAATTAACATCTAGACATAACTGCCGTATTGTTTAAAGTCATAAAGCGTAGCATGCCTTTTCTGCCAGCATGAGCTGCAATTATCTTATAAACAATCGCAGCTTTCTTTGGGCTTTATTTTGTAACATTGATTGTTGTAGCTTTCACGGCTAACATGGCGTCGTAACGCTATTCAACGTTAATGCACACACGTGGAAGATTTTTTACTCACTCTGCTGCTCTGCTGGTTGAGTTGGTTTGCATCGGAGTTTGAACTAACTCGCCACACGTGAGTACTAATTGAAATTAAGCCAGAATTTAAATCGTACATTATGTGTTATGTTATATTGTACTGTGTATTATATATGAAAAGGCATGTTGTGGTCCGCAGTGCTTTTAATGCGTTTCCACTAGTTAATAATGTTAAAAACGATTTTTTTTTATTTTTTGCATTTTAAAGATGACGCCTTGTTTGGTTTGTCAAGCTGCTTACGTGTCATTCTACACTTGGAATCCTGAAAAAGAATTTTCTTGTCACACACAAAGGCTGTACAACCCACACCAGACGGTGCACGTACACTTTATGTATGCACGTGCAAGCAAGCACCACGGTCTTTGAGTTTCAAACTGGCAGTATTCGAACCATGCCATCACGTAATAGCAGCGCGAGACAAGGCACTTCTACTGACTGAGCTAACTCGGTGTCCACGGTATTATCATGGTAAAACTTTGTTTTGAGCTTCAACATATCTTAGTCTCATCCACATTAATAAAAAAGTCAGAAGAAAGTTAAAGACTCTATTGATATGCTGCTCGTTCTACACTACATCTGAATGTTCAGTTGAAACTTGATGTGAAAATTAAAGAATGACAAGCAAGCACTTTTAATGTGTGTGTGCGTCTGATTGCTGTCTGCTGGTCTACACTGTGTAGCGTGAAATTAATTCAATTGTCGCGTTGCTCTGAAGTTATGTTCAGAGTTGTGCTGGCAGTATATTAGCTGCAAAGTTGATTACGAACGTACCACAAATCATCTCTTGTTTGTAGTTTGTAGAAAGATGTTTGCAAGGATTTTATCTATTTATCCAAACATTTTACATCCAGTATTATGTAGTTATTTGGTTTGGCGAACAGTGCAAGAAATTTTTTTTCTTGAGAATTTTGTACTTTCTAATATAAATTTCAAATTTATTTAGTGAAACCAAACAAGGCGTCATCTTTAAAATAAAGAATGGTTGATGCATTTTAGTAACTTTATTTACAAATCATGGGTCCAACTGTTTTTAGCGAAGTTCATTATGAAACTGCAGTTGGTTGGCTGAGTAGTACAGGTAGGTTAATCTAACTGTTTGCTTAGCAAACAATAATTTTTAGCTGGCTCTATGTTTTGTTTGCTGTTATTTGACTAGCTAATATTAAATTCATCTGTGTGGTTTTTTACTTAGCATAATACTCTAACAGTCATTATTATCATCATCAGTCACGTCATTATTTCCATCATCATCGTCATCATCATCATCATCAACAGAGTTTTAAGCTCTTTTAATATTAAAAATTAAACAATGATCATCTGTGTGTATAAAATGATGATTCGTTCCGATTCAACGTTAAATAATGAAGTGCGAAACGATTTGGTGGGAATTAATTTTAAATAATAAATCAAATATTAATTCGAAAGTCGTTAGCTGCACAATTAGCAAGCTGCCTGCATACAAGCCGACATAAATTTAGTTCTTGTGGCCTGCTTATATTTAAGAATTTGTGTCTTTATAACGATCTATATACTCAAATTGTTTTTAAATACGATCGAACGTTTCATATTGTCGAAACGGTTTAGCAAGTTAGACCAAATTCATCCCATTCATTCGTTTAAAATGGTGATTGCATTTGGAAATAAAATTTTTTTGTAATGAAATCTCATCATATTGAGTTATTATACACGAGACTTGCGTATCAAGGATTGAACCGCAACTGATGTTGTCACATTTTAATAAGAAATTATTAACTCTCCACAAAAATGTGCCACATTGCACCTACAGTAAAGTAGCGATTTTGTGTGAAGAGTTTGTCGTAGCTATATAGATAGTGTAGATTTAAAATATTCGATCTCTTTAAAAATGAAAAAAAATTCAAATTAAATGGTTGAGCGCAAATTTAAAAATGTGCTTGCAACAAAAAAAAAAAAAAAAACGAACAAACCTTGCTGAACAGGAGGATCTGTTGATTTGATAAAAATTTGAATTAAAAAATTTCGCATATCAAAGCAAAAAAATAAAATATAGCAAAAAGAACTTTGTGGAAAATGCACCACAAAATCTGTGCCCGGTTTTTTTTCATGATTCAAACAGCAGCAAAAAATAGGCCACGACATATTTAAGATATAATTCAAAATTAAATGAAATGCGATGCAACAAAATAGCCACGCAACGAGGGATAGCATCCCACTAACTGAGAGGATCTGGATCGGGAACAACCGGCATGACAACAGGAGGTCTCGCGGTTGTGAGGGCGACGGCTGTGGTAACCGCAGCTGTCGTCGGCGGCCTTGTGGCTGTGCCCTGGTCGACAGTGGTCCCTGGAGGAGCTTGCGTTGTGTCTGTGGGCGGAGATTGGTGGTAAGATGATGATAGTGTTGTCGGTGTTGTTTGAAAGGTCTGGTGAGACAGTTAGGTGGGTGTTGTTATGGGAAATGTGCACTTTCACATGTGGTGCATCACTTTGTTTTGCTCTGCGTGTAGGTTCAGTGTTGTTTGTTAAATTGAAAAAATAATAAAAAATAAGGTTGTTCAGTTTTCTAACCATTTCCGCTCTGTACCGTGGAACCTGCAAGTAAAAAATTTTCTTAATAAACTTTCAATTTTTTTAAAGCACTTGGGTTCAAAAAACTTCAAAAAACTTAAATGTCCAACAAGCAAATAAATATTTGTTAGATTATATTTAGTCATTTAAAAAGAAAATCCTATCAAATAAAATTAAATATATAGAAAACAAAAATAATGAAAAATAATATAAAAATAGATTTTAAGAAGAATGAACAAATGACACAAAATTGAAAAACTTCAAAAATTTTATCCTATTTAACTGTGAAAAATGCTTTTTTTATCGGTCTGAAACAGAAACAGGAGACTCGAAAAAAAGCCAAAACATTGCCCGACATACTTGGCTTGTTGAGTTGGGTGACGAGAACCGCGGTGAGGATGACACCCAGAATGGACGCACCTGCCACTGCCCCCAACACTCCGATGATGATCTTTGCTGTCTTTGGCGAAAGGCTCTGTGATGAGAAACTTGAGGTGCTCACTGATGGTCTGTTAGAGGATGGGGGTACAATTGTTGGTGTTGTTTGGCATGTTGAAGTGTTGATCCAATAATTGTTGATTGTGTTGCATGGAAAATGTTATGTTGTTGTCAACTGTGTCGATGTTGTTTTTATTTGAATGCAATTGTTGTTTTGTTGTTGTTGCTGCTGTTGTTGTTGCTGTTGTTTTTGCTGTTGTTGTTGTTGTTTCTGTTGTTGTTGTTGCTGTTGTTGTTGCTGCTGTTGTTATTGCTGTTGTTGTTGTTGCTGTTATTGTTGCTGTTGTTATTATTGCTGTTGTTGTTGTTGCTGTTGTTGTTGTTGCTGTTGTTGTTGCTGCTGTTGCTGTTATTGCTGTTGTTGCTGTTTATGTTGTGTTCTTAATATGTACGCAAATGTCAGCTGCATACAATCAGTTCTTAATCATTTAGTTAGAATAAATGGATTCAGGATTATCTAGTTAATTCGCTCCAATGCCTTAAAATCGCTGAACAAACACTATTAGCTTGAAACATTACTTGATTCACTTTACAGCCTGCAACAGCGCGCACATAAACTCGAAAAAAATTTAATTTGTGTAATTTTATTTTGTTAAGTAAATATTTTTGGCATATTTTGCTACAAGTTTATAAACACAGTTCAAATTTTTTTTTGGTGAGTGAAATGAATCCAGGGCGAAGCTTAGCATAAAATCCGATACAAAATTGAAACGCAAAAATTTGGTTTACTTTGATACCTCTGGTTAACTTGAAAGTTTAAAAAATAAACTTACTAATTATGCTTGTGAACTAATTCAAATAGTTTCCCTCTATACGGAAACATTTCCATTCCTGTTATCTGTGTTTGTTTCATGATTTTATTGTCAGTGAAAAGTTTTTTCGCCATTCGCTATCAAATTCCTGTGACAGCATGCTACTTCATTGGTATAAATCGATTTTTTTTTGTCGCATAATAAATCTTAACCAATCTATGTAAGTGGGGCAGAAAAAATGTGTGAAAAATATTATCTTCAGATTGTTTGATTGAATGCAACACACGTATGCCTAAATTCAATTAAAGATCGGCTGTTACGAACACCATTGAAACGAAAACATTTCAAAATTTGCTGCAAACATTTTTAGACCGGTAACGCTTGAGGTTAAAATCTTGTAACATATTCACACAATAAAAAACTTTTGTGAACGTATACTCTGCGTCAGTGGCGGATCTAGAAAAAGAGGTGGGCGGTGCCTCTCTCTTGTGAGTTGTATTTGCATTAAATGTCAGTAAAACTCATCGTATTCACGCAAAAAGTACAGCAGATGTTTTCCCCCCGTCAAAATATTTGGCTCTTCGGTCAACCTTTGATCTGTTGAGACTGTTTAAACATTGACCTGGAAGTATCTTTCATTTGGTTTTAGTTTTTACATAAAATTATGATGCAAATGTTGAATTTTTTTGGGTGTCGGAACCAAGAATCGGAGTCGGAAAATTTTCAATAAAGAAGTCGGAGTTGAAAAACTTTTTAATTTTCAGCTTCCGACCTATTGAAAAATCCTCTCTACCAAACATTACATTTAAATTTAACCGCGAAACATCATCTCATAGAAAGCAGAAATGAACCATTATAAAATTCATACAAATATTATTTTGTGGAAATATTTTTCCTCACTTGTAAAAATATAAAAAGTAAAAAAAACTCACTTGTTGAATCTGCTGGCCTTGTTATTGTACTGCTGGGGGTACCAGGCCCGCGGCAGTTGCACCTGTTTGGACTGGGGGTGGCAAAACATTTTTTAAAATTTTCGTCATATTAAAAATATCTTTCTTTTCTTAAAATTAAAGTTACAACGGTTGGTAATTGCTTTATTTTTAGTTGGAATAATAATTTTCAAAAAATTCTCAATAATATAATACCATTTTTAAGAATTTGTCCAAGACAGAAAATTAATTTATCCAGACTCGTTTATTTATTTGAAAATAAATTTTCAATTATTATAAATAAATAATTAAAATTGAAAAATTAAATAAAAAAAACACAAACGAATTAAAAAAAAGTCTTCGAAAAAGGATCGCAAATAGAGTAAGAGGTGTTTTAAATAGGAACCTCGCTATGTTCAGGCACTGTTTTATTATTCGGCTTATGTGATTTCTTTTGTCTTTAGCGACGCAATGTTTGTTACTAATATTATTATTATTGCAGTTTTCATTATTATTGTTGTTATTATTGTTGTTGTTGTTGTTGTTATTATTGTTGTTGTTATTGTTGTTATTATTGTTGTTGTTATTGTTGTTATTATTGTTGTTGTTATTGTTGTTATTATTGTTGTTATTATTGTTGTTGTTATTGTTGTTGTTATTGTTGTTGTTATTGTTGTTGTTATTGTTGTTGTTATTGTTGTTGTTATTATTGTTGTTATTATTGTTGTTATTTGCGTTGAGTTGCAGTTAAGTAGCAAACTGTAGAACAACACTCATTCATTCCTATCATCGTGAAACAGCATGCTATTTAAAACAATATTAAAAAGTAATTAAGCTCTACATAAAACAATAATTTGGTGTAGCGAAACCGGGGTCGTGTTTTATAACTGTTAAAACTGAAAGTGCAAAAAAAAACAGTTTCCAAAAATAATCTTGACATCATCTTTTCTGTGGGGACCGAGGCACTGGTTCCAACATTGTGAGCAATTTTTGTATTAAAAGTCAGTAAATGTCATTGTTTTAACAGAAAAATCATCGTTTTTTACAAAAGATTCTCAGCCTAATTTTGGCCACACGCTGGCCCCCCTCCCGTCAAAGTTGTTAAGACCCGCCACTTGTCATGGGTGGTGTCTCAGTCTGCATCTTAGAAACCAGATTCAGAGTAAAATCGTCAATATGTGAATTGGGTAATAAAATTTAAATATGTGTGTGTGTGTGTGTGTGTGTGTGCAGATGTGTAGATGTTTGTGTGCGTGTGCTTTTTTGTATGTGTGTGTGATTTTGACAAGATTCGCATACGTGTAAAGCGTCTTATCAGACATAACACTGCGTTTTAAAAATCAGTACAGCACTATATATTAACAACAGCGCCATGTAACTTGATGTCGGAAGGTAACAATGCAACGTGCTTCGTTGTACAAGAATGAATTAACAGTTCATAAACTACTGCAAGAATGTATTTGAGGATATTATGTGACATGCTAACTAACTTTGCTAAATGCTAAATAATTTTAAAGATGTGGACTTTTGTGGGGTTAGGTTATGTTAAATTAGTAACAGTTAACAATTTGAACAGTTTTAACTTGCAAATTATTGCACAATTATATACGTAAATATTTGAGATTATTATCTTTCAAATATTTTATTTCATTACTTCATATTTATTTCAACACACACACACACACACACACAGCACACACACACACACTCACACAGCACACACACACAGCACACACACACAGCACACACACACACACAGCACACACACACAGCACACACACACACACACACAGCACATTTGAATAAACGTGAATCAACAGATCACCACATGCGTTGCGTGTGATAGCCTGTGGGATCTATTGGCATTTGAAACCGGTCAACGCGACATAAGGAGAACCAGGCATTTCAAATACCTTTCAGATGAAGCTTTTGTAACTTTATAGAAGTCATTAGTGGAGTGGCATATGGAGTACGGTGTCCAAGTATGAAATCCTTTCAGAGTCGGTTTAATAGAGGAGCTTGAAAAAATTCAGAGAAGAGCAACGATTGTAAGAACATCCATAACATACATAAACCCATAAACCAAAAATATCCATACTTGCTGTTCTTCGGTTCTTCTGTTGGTAAAAATATATATGTATATATATATATATATATGTGTGTGTGTGTGTGCGCGCGCGTATGTGTTTGTGTGTGCGTGCGTATGTATGCGTGTGTCTGAGTGTGCCTAATTAAAGATTTTAGTGTGTCTATTAAAGAGTTAATAATCTTGTATGTGTTAACGTGTTTCACTGTGTTCTGAGTTAACGAAAGTTTTTGTTCATGGACTCACAGCTTGCATATACAATTAAACATGTATGTATATCACCAACAGTGATGTTTTCAAGTCTGTATGTGTGTGTTTGTGTGTGAGTGTGTGTATAGATTCATAAAGTATGAAAATGTCACAAAGCATGAAGAGCATCATGAACAAGAACAGTATGTATGTATGCCCCTGCAGAGTGCCTGTGCTGTAAAGTTAATGAAAGCTTAATATCAAAAGAGTGTTGTTGATTGAACGCTGAGAGGATTGTAAAACAAATGCTTGCTCTCTCATACGAGTGGCTTCAATAGCTTACTTGCTCATTGTCTTTCTAAGGAATTTATTATTTTAACGTCAATATATATATATATATACAGTATTTTAGAAATATAAATATATATAATATAGTATATATATATATATAATATGGTTTATATATATATATATTAACTTATTTTATATACTTTTATATATATTCATCTATTAATCTTTTTTTTTCACGAAAAGCTATGTAAAACCAAACTGTAATACAGCCAGACAGCGCAAATCAAAATGTTTTCAGCATCTTCTTGAACTCTGTCACACTCACACTTACAACCGGACTCTGCAAGTTTTTGAGAAGACTGTTCCAAACTCCAGGGCCAAATACTGAAATATAAACACAATTTATACTTTGCATATATGTATATATATTTATTTATACGCGCGCGCGCGTGTGTGTGCGTGTGTGTATATTTATAGTTATTTATAAAAATCTCAACCTATTCCAATTTACATTTTTTATCTGTTCAGCAAAACTCTTCTATTTACCTTACAACTGCTTTTTCTTCAAATTAATTTATTTATTAAGGTAATAGAAACATTTTGAATCTTATAAGTATGAATTTTTTTTATATTCACTTTTAATTGTAAACACAGCGTAGTTATACAAATGTTAATTGATTAGCAGAGGCAATGGAGGACATTGGGAAGTTTTGTGAGGTCTAAGAACAAAATTAAACAAAATCTCTGAATACATTTGAAAAAAATTTTGACTGAAAACTATTTCAGACATTCCACAACAATAAAATGAAGTTTTATTTTTTACAAGACCACTGGTTTCAATAGCCCAATTTATAAATTAATCAATCATTCAGTCAGTCGGTCGGTCGGTCGGTCGGTCAGTCAGTCAGTCAGTCAGTCAGTCAATCAATCAATCAACCAATCATCAATCAATCAACCAACCAATCATCAATCAATCAGTCGGTCGGTCGATCGGTCGGTCAGTCAGTCAGTCAATCAATCAATCAATCAATCAATCAATCAATCAATCAATCAATCAATCAATCAATCAATCAATCAATCAATCAATCAATCAATCAATCAATCAATCAATCAATCAATCAACCAACCAACCAACCAACCAACCAATCATCAATCAATCAATCAATCAATCAATCAGTCGGTCAATCAATTAATCAATTATTTTATAAAACGATGTTCAACAGCTCTCCTCAATGAATTTTGCAAACAGATCCGCTCTGAACTTCGTATGAGCTCGAGAATTGTGTGGCAGACATTTTCAACGTTATTTAGCCCCATCCCCACTCATACCAAGTTCTTGGCATAGCTTCAGTTGGTCAGTGGCGGATCTAGATAATGGTGACGAGGGCCAAAATGTTGAAATTTTTTGAAGTTTGATGGGAGAGCCCAAAACACCAAATAAATGCGATCTTTTTTGGCTTATCACTCAAATTTTTGCTCGATTTTTTGCTTCAGAGCGATATCTTCCTTTCTAAAAACAGAGTTTTACAGACTTTTAACCCTTAACATACCAAGGGGGTTCCTTCAAGGACCCCAGAGAGTAGTTTTCCTTAACCCTGTCAAAAGTAACCAAACAAATTCCACCACGATTTTTCTATTCCTCTCGATTAGGGTAGCAATAAATATTCCATTGTTGTTTTTATTATACGTTATTTCAAAAACAGTAAAAAAAATAAAAAAGCAGGACCCCGCTTGGTACACTATGTTACCGATTGTGTTTTTGTTTTTTAACACTTATGGCTGAAATCGTAGACACATTTTAAAGGTTTCAGTATTAAAAAGTATTATTCTGCATTCTTACTGAATATTTGCTCATCTTACTTACTTTTAATTTGTCCTCCATTTGCAAAACTTCCGTTGAAAATTATTATTTTCTGTTTCAAATAAAGTTTATAATTTGCTGTAAAGATTTTGATAACATAAAATATAAACGTAAACGTTTGAAAATAAGAAAAATGGCTCGTAGACAAACTACAGATGAGATTCTCCGAATGTTAGATGAATGTGAAATCAGTGACAGTGACCCGGAAGATGTATTGGAACAATCTGATGAAGAATTTATACCAGCAGGAGATGCATCCGAATTGGAGGACAATCTTGAAGTAAATTCTGAATATAGTGACAGTGCTAGTGAAAATTCGGATACAAATTCGGATGAAGATGAATTCACAATAAAATCAGGTAGAAGATGGACAAGTTCTGTGCCACCATCATCTCGCCGTCGTCAATATAACATTGTCAAGGGATCACCCGGGCCAACACGCGCAATTAATGTTGCATCGACGATATCTGANATTTTCAAATTTTCAACTGGTTCTTTGACAACCGAATTGTGGATGCTATATGCACCTTCACCAATGCTGAAGCTTCTAGAGTTATTAATGATTTCAATGCAACTGCTGATTCGAATAAACAGAAAGCTTGGACAGATGTAGACCCTGTTGAAATAAAAGCATTTTTTGGTGTTCTGCTGATTGCTGGAGCTCTTCGCTGTAGAAAGGAAAATATTTCTGAAATGTGGACGACAGATATATATTCGTCGTGCTGTTTTTACTGCTGCCATGGCACGAAACAGATTTGCACTCATCCTTCAATTTATCAGGTTTGACGACAAATTAACACGTGCTCAAAGTAGAACAACTGATAAACTTGCAGCTATTCGTGAAGTTTGGGATTGGTTTGTAATAAATTGCCAAACGCTTTTTACGCCAAATGTCCGATGAGGCAGTACATGAAATCAAAACCAGCAAAATATGGAATAAAAATATGGGTGGCCTTCATATTTGTACAACTTACAAGTCTACACTGGAAAGCTTCCAGGAAATGCACCAGAGAAAAATTTAGGACACCGCGTAGTATGTGACTTGGTGGATCTGGAAGAGGTGTCACTACAGACAATTTTTTTTTACATCCGTGAAGACTGCAGAATTTTTGCTGCAAAAAAGCATCACCATGACAGGAACATTGAGAGCTAAAAAAACTGATATTTCTGCAGTTATAGAAAATGCAAGAGGATGAGACATACTTTCATCAAAATTTATATTTTCTAACGGGGTAGCGGTAGTTAGCTATGTCCCAAAGAAAAACAAAACAGTCCGTTTACTCTCAACTCAATCTCTAGATAATTCAGTATCCTCTGAAAGTCACAGGAAGCCCAACATGATACTGGAATACAATAATACTAAGGGTGGAGTGGACAATGCAGATAAATTGGTTAGAGAATATTCTTGTGCTAGACGAACCTCAAGATGGCCTCTAAGACTTTTCATGAATATGCTCGATATTGGTGCCCTGAATGCCTTCATAATTTGGATGTCGAAAAACAATGACTGGAATAGACATATGAAGAATATTAGATATCAATTTTTGTTAGAATTAGGCAAAGAACTGACCAAACCCAACATTCTACGTAGGGCAACCAATCTAAATGGTCTCCACCTTCCAGTTGTCAAAGCAATTGAAGCTGCAGGAGTAGTTGTAGCACGCAACACTACAACCCAAAATATACCATCAGCATCAAGGCAGCAGCAGATCAAAAGGGGAAGATGTTCCTACTGTCCCAGAAACAAAGACAAAAAAGTTAACACAGTCTGTGTGTGGAGAATGTAAACGTTTTGTCTGTGAAACACACAGGAAGATAATCACCACTGACATGCGCCAAGGATTGCAGGGATAGCAACCAATGATTGATATATATAAATTTATAAATATAATATATACATACATAACATTTACCTATTTTTATTATAATAAATTTTTCATTATATTATTTTAAACGGATGAAAATTTTGAATAATCGATGAAAAGATAAATCAATTATGCTCAGAATACTTGTTTTACTAAAAAATATTTTAAAACACCCAATAATCATCAAATAACTGAGAAATATCAAAAAATAATTGGGGTCCCTTGAGGACCCCAGCTTGGTAAACAATGTTGATGACATTGGCTTGGTATGTTAAGGGTTAATAAAACCACTCCTGACAACACCCCCACTCTAGATTGGTTACATAGATTACTCCTATACTATATTTACACTAAACTAAACCATATCATGCCACGCTATGCTATGCTACACTTAACTATAACATGTTGTACCGTACCACTCAACTATGCCAAACCATATCGCACTGTACTATAGCACGCAAAACTGAACTAACTATTCACTACCATGAACAGGCAAGGTAGTCTATTCACTCGTCATCACTATGCTTACTTTTCATTCGCCAGTTTGTGACTCTAAACTTTTAGGAAAGATGGTTTTGCTTATGAACATAACATACATCTTATATGGAGCGTAAAAACGTCGAAATTGTATAAAATCACGTTTTACGCTGTGTTTTCTAGAAACCAAGCGAATATATGGTTTTTAACACAACAACTGATAAATAAAAATTTAAATTTTACACTCATCCAAAAACAAAATTTTTAAACGAAGAATTTTTGGTAGATACACTATGTTATGCATGAATTTATTTATACGAAAATGTATATGTTTATTAACATTTAACGTTAATAGGAGTAGTTGATCATAATTTACAAAGTCATATTGATATTAATTTACCAGAAGCATTTCAAATTGTTGGCGATTAAATCTAGCTTTCTAAAAGGGCGTCTTCTGGAAATTGTGATCTGGGGGTTGAAATATGTGACAGTTTGTGATAGGGAGAGCGGGGAGTCAAAAAAAGCGCGACATCCTTCATGGACAGCCCCCTATTATCCTAATAAAAATTACTGTGCACGTATCCAAATTGACGATAATTTGAAATTTTTTCAAATAAAATTATCATTTACGGATTTCCAAACAATACTTTATCGCAACATCGTTAAACTCATTTCTTTAACAATTTCTTTTTAACTTAATATGAAGTGCAGCTACGAAACCGAACAAAACTTTAAATAAAAAAATCATTCTACTTAGATTACCTAATTCAAAGATTGATGGTTATTTGTGTTTATGTTTATTACCAACTACGATTATTACGCTTGCACTCAGACTCATTTTTAATAATAATAGTAATAATAATACCTTAACTTCATACTGAGATGCAACACTTAATTATTTATTAACAGAAGTTCACATAGAGGTAATAAATTAAACTAAAGGACGAAGGGTTAGTTGTAAGCAGTTGGATGAAAATTATTTAGATGAAAACCATCGATTTTGAAGTTTCACAAGAAGAATTGTAACATTAAAAAACTAGTCCTACAAACTTGTCACTCACACATAACACAGTCATCAGTAGATGTATGCGGAGTACATAAAATGTTACATTACTTCCACACACAAACACCATTCAGACGGGGCTGACATGAGTTTGCTCTTTGTAGCTCTTTTGATGTCTAGAGCTGACCTTTGCACTCAAACATGCCGGCAGATGTGCCAGCCATCTCAATATATTATAAAAATTGTATATATTTATGCAAATTTATCAAAAATATATATTATAAATATACATATATACTTATAATTCGCATATTTCTGTTATATTATATGTATAAAAGTAAAATATATGAATTATATGTACATATTATTTAATTATATGTATAAATTTTGAAATTTTAAAAAATTTTAAAATATTAATTTTAATCTTTGTCTATATTATCGTAAACTTTTTTTTCAAATCATTGCACTGAGAGTTTATGAGTATAAATTCGACAAAATTATTTAAAATCTTAACAATAAATTATAAAATTTTGCTCAGTATATACCTTTCAGCAAATTTCAGCAGGCCTGTGTCATTCTGTTGGAGATTTAAGAAGATATTCTATAATTTTGAAAAATCATTTGTTTGTATACTATTCGGTTTCATCCAAACCTTCTTACAATTAATTTCAGTGTTTTGATTATGAGAGCAGAACGTGAACCTCTCTAATTTAAAAATTAGACTGCACTTTATCTACATTTATTCATTTACAGAAATATATAAATGTAGTTGGACTATTTGCAAACTATAATTATTTTTTGTTTGCAATGCTTTTTAACACACGAGGAAGTTAGTTTCGCACCAATTTACAGTGCACACAGTTGATTTAATATATCACTCAAGTTTCAAATAAGGGTTCAACGTTCAACGTCCGTTTAAGTAGCTTGTATGTAGTACACAGTATAGTATATAGTAGTATATATAAATGTTGTACATGCAGCTTGTGTAAAAAGTGGTTTTCAACCAAAACAGATCTTTATTGAATTTTTATTTGAAAATCTTTGAAACAATGGCTGAATCGTTGGGAATAGCAGCTGACTGCCACTTCACCATCCACAACCTTCCCTACGGCATATTTTCAACGCAGTGTAATGTTCGTACATTTATTATTGTTTCGTTCGTATTTTTAAAGTTTTTACTATACTACTTGTAAATTTTATTTAGAGATAATTATTTGCATGAAAATTCTGTTTAACATTGAATTCGTACAGTGCGAAAACATTGTCACTTGGAATTTTTCATAATAAGCACACAAACTTTTTCAACTGTTCCGCGACTAACCTGTGTAATAAAATGTACGTGAGTAAACCCAGTTTCATGACGGACCCAGGTTTACAAGAATAAACAATTTATGGAAAGCTGACCAAAAAGTGTGATTAAATATTTAGCAAGATGTATGATGCAAAGTAGAAAAATAGCATTAAATGAAAGAAAATATTGTATTTTTATTGTATTTTCTTATAGTTGACCGTGAAAATGCTTTTTATTGGATCTTCCATTGACTGGTTATAATACACACAAACCCGTGAACTTGAAAAAATCTTTTAAAATATATTTTGAATCTACACTGCAAATAAGCTATATACCTGGTACGAAGTGACTACTCTGCTTTTACCATAAACAACAAAACTTAGACAAAACAAAAATTTTTTTTAGAAGCTAAATAACTTTCCAAAACTTGTTTATGATTTGGTGCATAATTCAACAAAATATCAATGTTTTACGTATATTTTAGATAATATGTTAACCTAATTGATTGATTAATTAATTAAAATAAAAGTTGAATATTGCTTAAAATATTTTTAAAGAGCAAACACAGGATTGGTGTGGCAATCGGTGAATATGTATTGGACGTAGGACTTGTGAAGCATTTGTTTGATGGCCCAACCATCCGCAAAAACATCCATGTTTTTGATAAGGTTAGATCTTAATTTAATTTAAATTAGTATCAGGACTATCCATGTTTGAGATATCTCGCTAACTAAATCGTCCCCGAGCGGCAATTTTGTAATTTTGTAAAGGCACGACACATAACTAACCATAACGACTTCCGAACGAAAATGGAGCAAAACCGTCATTTATTACCTAATTTTAGTTGTTGTTATTGGTCATGGGCATAAATGCCGTGTTTCCACATCTATGGTATTGTAATTTAATTAATTTAAGCTAATTTAAACAACTAACTAAATTATAATATTTAAAAATAAGATATGCAACAGGACTTTCATTTTACTAATTTCACTTCTAAACTTTCATAATACCAATCATCTATCTCGATAGCTTAAAATTGTAATAATCAGTAGCAGCAGTTTTTACATTTGTTTATCTTATGAAAAAGTTTGTTGCTTAGCTTGGATGTTAAACATTCACAAATCCAGGAAGTTTTGAACGACTTCATGAGTTTGGGCAAACAATCGTGGAAAGAAACAAGGGATAAGTTGACTGAGTTGTTGTCATCTGACAGTTCGGCACTCCTATCAAACAGAGATCTCAGAGAGAAGTGAGTCTGCATATTTCGAAGAAAAACTGTTGGAAATAAAAATTGTGAAAAACTTTTCAGAGCTCTCATCCTACAAAAAGATGTCACCATGCACCTCCCCGCAAACATTGGTAGTTTAGTCTTCATTTTTTTAAATTTCATCAAATCAAATTTGTAATTGAAACATGAAACATTCTTCATTCGAGGTGATTACACTGACTTCTACTCCTCGATATACCACGCCACGAACGTCGGAATCATGTTCAGAGGAGCTGACAACGCACTAATGCCTAATTGGTAAGTTATACGTTGCTGGCTATGCATTTCGCGTCCGAAATGTTGCGACATTAACTTTGATATGAAATTTTTGTAGGAAGCATCTTCCCGTTGGTTACCATGGCAGGGCGTCCTCAGTTGTGGTCTCAGGCACTCCCGTCAGAAGACCCAACGGTCAAATGTGTCCAGATGAGAGTTGGTTTTGTTTATGGCGCAGCGTTTTTTGGCATAATTTTACCACACCGTTTTTTGATGATATTAGTCATCAGCATTTACGGCTGTACATCATTTTTACGAAACATTTTTAGGCATTCTTTTTGTTTTGAATATTAATATACTCAAATCTGATAAATATTTTCCAGGCAAACCACCTGTATACGGCCCATGTAGAACCCTGGATATCGAACTCGAGGTCGCCTTCTTCACAGGACCTGGGAACACGTTGGGCCAGCCAATCAGTGTTCACGAGGCACAGGATCATATTTTTGGATTTGTACTTATGAACGACTGGAGCGGTTTGTTACTTTATAACAATTTTCGCACTGCAAGTAATTTTTTTATGCGTTTGTTGAAATATGAAATTTTAACTAATTTTTTGTGTTAAAAGATATTTTCATGTTTAGTTGATGATCTGCACCAAAGTTTTTCAAAGTTTTTCGTATAGCCTATGCCATACATATTCTGTAAAAATTGTCTGGATTGTCTAAATTGGTGGTGTATATTTTATGAGTTCAGGGTTTTCATTAACCAATTTCTACCCCATAGCAAGAGACGTTCAAAAATGGGAGTACATACCTCTCGGTCCATTTCTGGGTAAAAACTTTTCCACCACCATCTCCGCGTGGGTCGTTCCAACCGATGCACTGCTACCCTTCATCGTCGACAACATGGTTCAGGTGGATGACACTTTTAACGAATTTTATGAATCATTTTAAATGTCCTCATCATTGTTGTTCACATTTCACGAGGTTATAATTTGAAATTACTGAAATGTTTCAGGACCCAGAGCCTCTGCCATATCTCAAGCATCTCGATAACTTCAACTTCGACATCAATTTAGAAGTATCCCTGAAAAGTAAAATTTTGTTAAATTTTTGTTTTTTATTTGTAAAATTTTACTGCAAAAATATTTTTCATCGTGATAATTTTTATTGCGAGTCAGATATGTGGCCAAATATTTTTCATAAATTAAGAGTTGAATTTTAAAACAAAACTTTTTATCTATATTTTCATAATTAAATAGATTCAAAAAAAATTTATCTATACCATTTTTTAATTAATCAACAACTACATCATGATGACAGCTGATGAAATACGGGAACACGTCACCATTAGTAAAAGTAACTACAAGGTAATGGACAACTTACTCCAATCAAATTGGTTACAAGTAATTAAATGAATAGATAATTATATAAAATAATAATTAAAATATAACATAAGTTTAAAACGTTGTGCTCCGTAGTATATGTACTGGACAGCAAAACAGCAACTCTCTCATCACACCGTCAACGGCTGCAACATAAGGCCTGGGGATCTGCTGGCATCAGGGACAATCAGTGGACAGGTGTGTGGCTATTTTTATTACGCTTACACTAAATTTACTTGTCTGTTTGTTCATTCTTCTGTTTTTTAGTTAGTTCGTTCGTTTGTCTCTGTAATACAAATCTTTTAACCGATTTTTTACAACTTCGCATCGTTCGATTAAGCTGAAATGTACTAGCCTAATACTTGCTCGTTCCCGCTGACAATGCAAGAATTAATGAACTAATTAACCGGTTTAATTAAATTAACTAAATTATTTTTTTAATTGATGTAATAAATCATTAATAAGGGTTTTAGTGAATATTTTTTAAATATTAACATCAAACGCGGAATTCACCACTCAAAACGCGAAACTAAAGAAGAATTCTACTTAAATCGGTTCACTTATATTGTCTGTTGTGAGATGTTTTGTTTCTTCGATTGAATAATATAAATAGTTTTATTAAATTTTTTATTAAATTTTTAATAAAATTTTTTATAACAAATTTCAATAGACTCCTGACTCATATGGAAGCTTGCTAGAGTTATGTTGGAAGGGTACAAAGCCGATCCATTTGTCTGATACAGTTACCAGAACGTTTTTGAAGGATGGAGATGAAGTTAGATTAACAGGTAAACAATCATTCATTTGATTTAATTTAAAAACTCTTGCTGATAAAAATAATCCCTATTTTTATATATGTATAATAAAATGAAATGTTTCTCAAGGTTTGTTTATTTTATCACATTAATCAATTCATGTATCAAATAAAAAAAGTTGCTAAACCAATGTTTAAACCAATACTACCGTAATTTAATCCCACACATTACCAGCAATAAAAGGTCGACGAATAAATTAATAAATTAAATAATTGACACACAGGCTGGTGTGAAAGAGACGGAAAAAGAATAGGATTTGGCGAATGTAGCGGAAAAATTTTGCCGGCAATCTGATACCTCCATGCTTTATTTTGCTAAGATTGTTTGCTAACTATTCTTTAATTTGTTGGTAAAGTTTCATATATTTTATGCTCATGTACGTTTCAATTCACCGAGCTCCTGCGTCTTTTGCCAAGTTTATACCTTGGTAAATTGTAGGTAGGTAAGGCAATCTACTATCATTTTCATCTGATACTTTTCTTCACGTTGATACTCTTACTGTTTATGTTTTGTGTTTTTTTTCCATTTAGATAGATTTTCAGTATTATTGGTTATCTCTCATTGTTATTTCTTTTACCAAGTTGTTGAAACTTATCATGTTCATACCCGGAAGTTTTTCGCATTTTTCTTTTGCTATTCGTCTTGTGGTTTTGTAAACTTTAACGCATTGCTATACATGGCTAATTTGATTTACATTTTTATATAAAAAATTTAAAAATAAATGTGAATATATTGGCGTCGAACACATGAATTTTATTTATTTGAAATTAAACGAATCATATAAAACCCAATAAATCACATCAGAAGCAGATCTATGAATTTTACTTCAAAATGATGAGTTCTTATACTAATAAGATAATTATTTTAAATTACAAATAAATAATTTATCATTAAAATCAAAGGAATTTAATTCATAAATAAAAATAGAAAAATAAGAGACGTTTGAAAATAATTAAAAAAATATAACTTGAAAAATGTTTGAATGAAATGGCTGCCTTATAAGGCAGGGTATATATTTTAAATTCAAAAGTTACGTGCTTCATAAGCTTAAAAATGAATATCTAGTTATTTTTTTACGTCATCTAGCTCATGAATATTCATCAGTATTTCGGATGTTCAATGTCATTTCTGGTACAATTTCCACAATTACATTTTCAAATATTTTCCGTAACTGTGAAATAACTTTATCTAATGAGAGTAAAAAAAACCATTATTTAATTTTTATTATAACTACTGATGTATTTTTTAAAACTCCCTTAAAACGTAAATACGCAAAATAGGGTTAAGTTAGACACGAAAACTGATTGGGAGAGAACGAACAGTTGAAGCAAAGGCAATGCAACGCTGTTACATTCTTTGTCATAAACAAACACCAAAACAACAGCAGATGCACTCAAACTCACCTCACAAACTAAGTAACTAACAAGAAGAACAATATCAATTGCGTATTCACCAACAATTTGATCAATAATGACCCATTATAATATTTTCAAATTCGTAATAATTTAACATTCAACATTTTTGTTGTTTCTTAACAAAAGACAGGCAAATGCAACAAAATAAACTAATTAGGAACAATCACATTTTTCGTAGGACGATATTCAAAGTAGGTCTGAGGACTTTGGCACTATTGACAGATGTGACACTTATGGAATGACAACCCAGAAGGACGAGTAGCTTCAAATTGGCAAGAGAAAACGACGATGAAGATCCGCTGAGTGCAAGTTGTTTGTTGTAGGCTGCGGTTGTTTGCGGTTGAACATGTAACAATGTCACAGATGGTGCTGTTATTGTTCCTCTGTAGAGCACAGAGTTGAGGATCAAAGTGTGAGGTTGCAACAGTTTGTAATCTCTTCTGCTGCATGGCTGCCTGTTTGGAGGGGGCAGAATCTGATTCTTAACGCTTGAAATGTTTTGTTTTGACGCTGACGCAGTTGATGACGTTGATGATGATGGAGATGAAGTTGACGAACATGACGACGACAAAGTAGATGTATAAGCAGTGCAATTTGTAAGGAACTGAATGGTCTTATCAGTAACTCCTTGACAGTACGACAGATTCAACTCTTCTAACTTCAACAGCGTTTGACCTATCAACTCAACAGAAACGTCAGTAACGTCTGAGCCAGTTAAAACCAACTTGACGCAATCCCTCAACCTCAATAGCGTCGCATCAACACCGGGCCTCTCGTCAACTGAGGCAGACAACAAAATCTTAAACAACGAATCTGAACAGCCGGAAACCCAAGACAAATCAAGTTCTCGCAGCTGTGGACAGAAACTGCTGTTGCTGCTGAGACAGCTGACAGCTGACCAAGCACAAGCAGCTAACTTCAAGCCACGCAGGTTGAAGAGTCTTCCTGATAGCCAGCTAAGCTGCTGCCTGCTTATGTTGGTGTAGCTGAGATCCAAATATTCTGGCTGATGCCTCGCTATGGCTACCAAGTGACACTGAATTTGTAGACGATGATAATGAAATAATAAAAATGTAATAATAGTAATAATATTATTTATAAAAATGAACATCGCAATAGGAATGATGCAACTGCCGTGTAATATAATTTATAAATGTAAAAATTATAACGTGAATGTAACAGATGAATGAGCTATTTTGACAAACCGACAAAACACCAACCAGCCAACCAACCAACCAGCCAACCAACCGACCAACCAACCAACCGACCAACCGACTAACCGACCAACCAACCAACCGACCAACCAACCAACCAACCAACCAACCAACCGACCGACCAACCGACCGACCAACCAACCAACCAACCGACCAACCAACCAACCAACCTGCCTAATCTTCCTCCTGCTGAGATCTATCTCCCTCCAGAGAGGTGCATAGAAGCACCACTTGTACCAAGTTTTACAGACAGGCATGCAGCATCTGGTCAGTTCCACATGGCTGAGGTACGAGAACACACGTAACCACAAATCCATCTTTAGTTTGTGTTTAGTCAGATCGTCGCAAGTTAGGAAAGATTTGGGAGGAGGCAGACAGAGCGGAGGTCGAATGGCATACCTGGGTCTGAATGGGCCGAGAATTATTTTCGGAAATGTGCTCGATGATGCTGGCGGGCCGTCCTCGTCATCATCTTCGACTACCTAATGAGCGTGCGAATGTTAAGTACAGCATCTATTAAATATTAAATAACAAATAATTAGAGCATTTATGGGTAATAACGGACTTTCATCAATTAAAAATAATTTTATGAATAATTAATTAGTTAAATTATAAGCCATTAGAAGGAATAATATGAGGTTTAATCAAAGTTAAATGCAGAGAAGAAACATATTTTTGTGTTTGCATACTTGGTTCTTAATCCTTTTTGCATCACTACAATCGTCATTACCACCGATATTCTCTCTCAATCTTTTCCTATTGGAATGTGATAGTCTAAATTTACTTTTCATCAGGTGGCCATCATCGTCACCATCATCGTCGTCACCATCGTCGTCTGATGAACCTCTATGGAAAGTTGTATTAGGTGGTGAAACTTTCGATGAATGAATTCGAACATCACCATCATCATCGTCTTTATCATCATCATCTTCATTCTCATCTTCTTCATCATCCTCATATTTCAAAGCATGGTATCTCTTCACGAAAGTTAAGTAAGCATTGAATTTGCTGACTGCAGATGATGACGACGACGACGATGATGTCGTCACTGATGATGACGACGTTGTTGTCTCCAATGATGATGACGATGATGTAGATGCTTTTGATGATGATGTTGTTGTTGTTGTTGGTAATGTTGATGGTGATGATAAAATAGATGGTGATGATGATGTCAGTGAAGATGATGATGTTATTGATGATGATTTTATTGATGATGATGATGCTTTAAACGACAATGACGTCATTGAATATGATGATGATGATGATGATGATGATGATGGGGCTTTCGATGATGCTGGTAATTGTGTTCTCAATGTCCTAGACGACGATGATGTCATCACTGATGATGATGATGATGATGGTGGTGTTTGCAATAAAAATGGTCTTAGTATCTTCAATGATGATGATGATGATGGTGGTGATGATGATGTAGATGTTCTTGGTGATGATGATTGCAAGACTCTTGAAAATTTGTACTAGAATAAAAATAGAATAATTCATAAATAATTAAATAACATAGATATATATAACAAATACAAAAACATGTATACATTACCTAAGTTGTTGTTCATATTATTTAAACACCCACCAAAAGACACTACTGCTTAAACAAAATTCTAGAAAAAGAAAAAAGAATTTTAAATAAATAAAAGAAATAATCCACAAAAGAAGTAATGAAATTTAAATTTTTATATATTATAAAATAAAATTTTTAAAGTATAATAAAATTTAAGTATATATAAAAAGCGAAATCACACTTTTTTACTCTCAGTTCTCCCTAGGTAGCAACAACAATAGCACTGCCAGCTGTCTGGCAGGTCATATTTCAACACACAATCAACGTTGAACAAGTTGGGTTGGTTCCATTTCAAGCAGGAGGGGTGACAGATCAGCCAGCACATGGAACATTCCATCAATTTATGAATGTATTGAGGTTTGGGGGTAGATGAAGAAGTGTTGCAAGTGCTACTGTTGTTGCTGCTGTTGTTGTTGTAGTTGTTGTCATTGTTGTTTTCGTTGTAAGTTGTTGTATCAAAGTTATCAATCATATTATGTTTATTTTTGAGACTGCCAGTTGACAACTGGCCATCGAGCGATTGTTTGATTGATGGTTGGTTTGATTGGTTGATTGAAGGCTGGTTTGATTGGTTGGTTGAGGTCTGGTTTGATTGGTTGATTGAGGTCTGGTTTGATTGGTTGATTGAAGGCTGGTTTGATTGGTTGGTTGAGGGCTGGTCTGATTGGTTGGTTGAGGACTGGTTTAATTGGTAGATTGATATGTCACCCTTTCCACAAATCAAGCACATCACTCCAGTTGGAAGGACAGGCTAAAATATATATATATATATATATATATATATATATATATATATATATATATATATATATATATATATATATATATTCAATTCACGTATATTCATATTATATTCACGTGGTAATTGGTTGACTATTAACTCACTTATTCACCCAACCATTCACTGACCCATTCAATCATTCATTCATCCACTCACCTATTCATTCATTAGTTCATTAATTAATTCATTTATTTAATCAGATATATAATTCACTTATTAATTCAATTACTTGTTAATATTTTCCCCAACTTATAATTAATTTATTTACCTATTCACTCCTTCACTCATTCATTCATTTATTCTTTCATTCATTCATTCATCATTCATTCCAACATCAGCCAATCAGCTAACAGATAGACACTGCCTGTTAACACAGGTCTGCTTCATTCTTCCCAGACCGCCAAATTTCTTCATGTCCTTGCAATAGATGCACTCCCCGCACTCCCAGTGAGTGCACCCATCACACTTTTTGCACCTAACTCTTCGCCTTCGTAGGACCACTTCTTGCTTGGATATGCAGTTGTTGTAGTAGCTGTTGCTACTGCTAGCAGCACTGTTGTTGTTGGTGTTCATGTTGTTGTTGTTGTTGCTAAGGATGTCGATGTTATGATATTTTCATCATTATATGCCGGATGGACATTCATTGTTATGTTAATAATATTCAATTCACCTAATTTAATTACTTAATTACTGCAATGTGTAGTGAATAGAATGATGATTGTTGTTAAAATATTAGCTGTTAACATAGCTTAACAGTTAGCTGAACTCTTTTAAAATCCTAAATGTAAATACACATTTATGATTTTGATTATGCCAATGTTTAATGTCAAAGATTACTTGCATTACATTATTTATACACTAATCACAGCAAAATTAATAATTTACAAATGATTTACAAATAAATAAAATTTTGATGTTATTTTTATTAAATATATAAACAATAATAATAATACAAATTGTGAAATAAAAAAATATAATAAAAACTATATAATAAAAATATAATAAAAAAACTATATAATAAAAAATATAATAAAAACTAAAAACTAATAATAATACAAATTGTGAAATAAAAAAATATAATAAAAACTTAAAACAAATCGCAAATTGGAAATGCAAACAGGCAGAGAAAATTTTTTTAAATTAAAATTTAATTCAATTTAAATATTTTAAAAAATAAAAAAAGAATAAAATATCATGAATCAATCATTCAAAATTTCAAGTGCAGTACAATTCAGATTCACCCAAGTGAATTTCGATTTCAAATAATTGAGTAAAAAGCAACTAATCAAACTTAAAATTAATTAAATTTTTAAATTAAATTATTTAAAACGAAAATAAAACTAAAAAATGAGCAAAATAAAAAAAAACCATAACGAAGTCTACTTTTACTTTTTAGGAGTGAACCATGTACAACGAGGAAGTGAAAAACAGCTGACTTTAAATTTGTGAGGCGCTTTTTTGACGATTACTTACAACAAAATCTTTGAATAATTCTGTCAATCGATGACTTGAAATTTGAAACACATTCTGCTAAAAATATACTTGAAACCCATTTAACCCAACATAACAGGGTTTACAGTTGTTCACTAGGCTGTGTCTGTGTGATAACCACAGCCAAATGACAATTAATTGTTCTAATATCCTAGTTCTCCAAAGTTTATTTTAAAACTGCTGGTTGATTTTGCAAAAGTTATTAAATTTACTCTACTACTCCAACTATCTATACAATATAGAATAATTTTTAAAATTGCCATATTAATCTATAAAATCAGTTTAATTATTTTTTTTTAATAATTACAGACGTTTTAACTTAATTAAATCTAATTTAATTTAATTTAACCGATCTATTAATTAAATTTTGGTTCTTATTTATATTTTTCATATTAAACACTGTAACGGTAAATCTGTTTTTGCTTATTTTGGTTCATTTCCCTGTCTCCACCTACCTCTTTAACTACCTGACCTTCATAGATATTGGCCATTTACAAAGTTCCGAGCGGATCTTAGAAACGCTCTTTGACACAAAGTTAAAATTATTGATTAACCGTTTCACAGTTTAATTGACCGTTTTACAGTTTTATTGCTTTAAAAATCAATTTTTGTATTAAAATTTCATGGCAAATAGAATAATAAAAGTTTAAAACTTAACTCGTAAAAGTCATCTATTTCGAAACGTGCTAAAGTTCGCACAATTATTTTATGCAATTTTTTCTCATTTTAATTTAGGAGATGTTCTCTGTTCGTCACACAAGGTTACGTAAACAAAATAAAAATAAGTGCAATAATAAAATCACAAAAATAAATCAACACAAAGCGAAAAAATTGACAACTTTTATTTTCACATTTAACATGCTTTGTAGACATTTTATAAGATGAACACTGTCTAACGAAATAATTACACGAAAGAAAACTGAACTGTATATTACGCGTAAAAAATTGACTAAACCGTCCCCAGACAGGCTCATAGATTATATGGATATTAATAAATCTTTAGTTATAGAAAGACCAGACTGGAAAGAGAAGCTGAAATTCAAAAGCGACGGTTGTCTTACCGAAAATAAAAATTTTCTTAAGAAACCATTGAATCGAAGAAAAATATTTGTTCGCCAGGTTGGTACCCCAAAACGGAAATCAAAAACTAGCAGTTTTTCTTTTATTTTACCATTTGAAAAACTACTTCCTGAAATAACTTTAGACAGATGTTCTAATAATCACATGATTTTATTGCAAAAAGAAAAATTGAATGAAAAATTGAAAGAAGCTGAAAAGTTAAATTCCGGAATTAAACAATTTGAAACTACTTCCTACCGCAGAGAAAATAATTCCCATAAATCGAAAAACGATAAATTAGAGGATTTTGAGGTTCCGAGCAATGTGCAATCTGTTTCTAATCTAACTATAAACTCATTAACCAGCAACAAAACTTCGTCTGTGAACGTTTATGAGCACAACAGCTCATTGGAGAGTTTCTCGGATGATGAGTTGACGTTTCGCAATAAATGTAAAGCAGAAGTTGAAGCCGTGAGAACCATCTATGACCATTCCAACGCTAACACAGTCAAAAAAAGTAACATGGGTCTGCGCAAGTCTCAGCAAGAAGATCTGAAAAGTAGCAACTCCAATAAATACGGCAACGAAAATTTGAAGTTCGGTGATAACCCCAAAACAACGGACGATGTAAAAATTAATAATCGTTCAGTCAGATCTTCAAACGTATCTGAAAATGCTTCTAAGCATTCAAGAAACCAGGCCTCCATTGATTCGCAAAAAATTCCTTCGAAAGCCTGCAACAGGCATCAAACCGTGCTCCGAGAGATTGAAACGACGGTCGAACAATCCACTCGCTTACTCAAGCAATCAAGTGAAGATGTAAGAAGTGAAAAAACTTCACGAAATGTTTCCGTGTCCTCTAGAGATCGCGAGGATGTGCTCCAATCGGCCGATCGTCATGAGACATCTCCTGGAAGTAAAACATTCACAGAACGGTCGGAACACATTTTGCGTTACGATAACGTGACTAAATCTGAAGAATCAATCACGACCGGGCCTTTTTCTGATGTTAATGAGAAAAGAAAGGCTTCGATCGCCACCGACAAAATTTTCAATAATGGATCAGAGAAGAAAAGTTGGGAGCGTTCCAGATCAAAAGATTCAAATAAAAAATGTTCAAAAGAATCCAGCAAACAGCAAAGTAATTTGTATAATCAATCGAGGCTTCTTGAAGCAAAGCGTGATGAATCATCGCGAAGTCGATCTCGCGATAAGGACAACATCGGCAGCCCCGAAGTCTCATATCGTAATTTGGATACCCCAAAAAATTTCGCTATTGTTCAACAAATGGTTACAAATGGAACATCCTCTTCTGGACGGAGAAAAAAGTCATCGATACTAAAAATTTGCCAAAGAAACAATAACAGTCCCAGTCCTCCACGAAGTGGAAAATCCGCCAACACGGTCAGCAGTAGAAAGACAGCGAGTAGCAACTACACGAGAGGAAGACCATTCAACACAACGGACGATCAATACACCAATTATTCACGCCCCAACGCTGAGTATAATTCGGAATCTTTGAAACCAAGTGACGAGAGAGCGGAAGAATCGATAGATCCGTATCCACCTCCGAATCGACCAAATGATTATTATTACGATTCGCCCCAAAGCGAAGATGCCTATCGCGGTTCACAAAGAAGCAACGGAAGAAACAGTAGCAGAGATTATGAATGGTAACTTTTGACAAATGATTTATTAAAAAATTGAAAATGCTCCATTGATTCACAATAGATTTTCACGTTTCAAGGTCATATATTTTCAGTTTTTTTTGATCCAAGAATGTTTTATTTCATTTTTATGACAAAATTTAATTTAATTTTAAGTTTACAATCTTACGGATCACGTCCCACAAGACAAGGATCAAGGAATGGGAATGATTATTATTGCGATGAATACTACGAAGATCGCTACAGATCATATTCACCGAGGAGCCATTCCAGAAGCTCCAGACCGCGAAGGCAAGTTCATTAAACGCAATTTTAGAAAATTTTATAGCCCCTCTAAATTTCCCAAGCATGACAAATTACAAAAGTTATAGATTTTTTTGTTAAAAAATTTACAAATAGATAATAAAAGTTTAATAATATATGAAAATTTTCTTGGTTAACAGCGCTTACTACGATGATTACGAGCGTTCGTCGAGACAACTCAGGAGCAGATCTGGCAGCAGACGACAAAGGTCTTCATTTCAAATTTTATTTTTGGTTTGTTTTAAATTTGCTTCAACTGCAAACCAATTTAACATTCACTTTGTTGACTGATAATACTATTTATATTTCTAATATTGATGTAAAAGAAATTTTAAATTATTAAAAAAATAGTTCTTACTATGAGGACGAGCCTTACGAATACGAAGATGAGATGTTCTGCTCTCTCTCGACGTCTGATCGACCCAGTAGGAGCAGGATAATCAGACGGGTTATCATTCTTAATGACTTTTTATCATTCACAATTAACTTGTATCAGCGTCCATTAATAATTTTCATTATCGTTCATCGTTTATTATCTTTTGTTCACTCTTTTTATGTCCCAAATTTGCAGAATAAACCTTCAAAATGTGTAATCTGGCTGACAACTAAATTGAACATTCCTTTTCAAAGCAACCGACAGGTACGTGCCGTCGCTTCATGCCAATAGATCCATACGATTTGAAGATACTTGCCCAACTGTTAAGCCCAAGACCAGCAACTCTTCAACCTCCGCCTCTTGAAATTGTTCGCATAGTTCAGTGGTGCGAGACCAGCCCTCAACCAACTCGGGTGTGTACGTGTACCAATATTCAACCGCCGGAAAGTTGCTATCCGGTTATTAGTACGGCGACTCAACCGCCTCCTGTCACTTACATCGTCAACTCTGCTTTGGTGCCCACCAACTGCCAGCCACCCGTCCAACCGGGGATGGCCATCACAAACGGATGCTTTTCATGCTGCTAGAGCTGATTGAATGAAGGTGATGAGTTTGTGGAGGATGGTGATGAGGATTATGGTGAAGATGATGATGACGATGAAAACGGTGATTGTGAAGATGATGATGATGATGATCAAGATGATGGTGACGATGATTGTGGAGAAGATGATGGTGATCAAGATGATGAGGACGATCAAGATGATGATGGCGGTGATTGTGAAAAATTGATTGTGAAAGATGATGAGGACGATCAAGATGATAATGGCAAAGAAGATGATGAGGAGGAGGATGAAGATGATTTTGAAGATGATGAATGATGAAGTTCCGTTTGATGTGGTGAGGAATGGAAGGTAGGGACTGACAAGAAGGGAACCAGCAGTGAAAGTGGTGTTTCATAAAATTTTAAATAAAAATAGAAATTGTATAAATTAAAAAAAAAAACAAAATTTGAATAATTCATTTTTAATTTGAAAACACACAAAAAGTTTTCCTAATATGTTTTATAATCAGTTACACCAACATAAACAATTAAAAAAGAAAGCAAATTCTTCTAGACATCATTCATTTCTTCAAAAATATTTGATAACTCACTAATATAGAATCAGTAAATAAACGAAAAAATTTGTAAAAGCAACTACAGGCTAATTACGAGCAAAAAAACCTAAAAAATTGAAAAATAATATGCTTTTTTCATAACAATATCAATGAGACAGTGTGAAATGATTATTTTAAAATTCGTTATAAATTTGGCTCAGGTTTAAATTCAATTATACTATACGTATCACTACACCACATAATATAACTTGTATGTTCGGTAGATAAACGAGGGGGAACGAGACAGATTAAATTAAATAGACATATCGTCGAATACAAAGGAGATATGCGACATCGAGTTAATCTTATTTATAGATAAAACAGCCTGACCTAAGAACTCCGAAATTCTAAAAATTCACTACCGTCCTACATTCATGTCAAAAGTTCTTTTATAAAAATGATTCCAGTATGTTCGTCCGTAAAGAAATCAATTTAATGCATTTATTTTTAATTTTTATCATTTTTGAATATTTTTTCTCTCATAATGTATCCACTTTTGCTTTCGAATACAATGTTGACGAATCATGTTATATAAGTTGATGGACTATTTTTTCCATGGCCGCTTTATTAACCAGGCACAGTAGACACTGGACCTAGGGCCTACAGACTTTTGAAGGCCCTACAAAAGCCAGAAGAATGAATTACTCCTGTGTTATTTCTGACGGTGTTTAAGACGTCAGTTTTAGGAGTTGAACGTAGAAATGGCTTGATATAAAAAATAATCATGGAAGGAACAATATGTTTTGTTGAAAATGAAATTTATTAATCGTAATTACAAATCTAAAGTGACTTTTAATACTGGTAGCCAAGCTTGTAGCCAAACTGTAACACAAATAGTTGAAACAATTTGTAAAATTAAATAATAATAAATAGATATAATATGAAGTTTGTCTGTAATTATTTTTTGTTGAGAAAAGAAATTCGGGTGTCTAAAAACCTCTTTGAAAGATGACGTGCTCTTTTTGTAAATTGAATTATTTTCCTTTTCCTTTTTTTTAATAGAAGTTATCTTTTGTTCCCTTTTTTGACTTGAAAAGAAAAAAAGAATTAAAAATGAAACAAAATAAAATTAGTTAAACGAACCATAGACTCTTCAAAAGCATGTACCAACGTACGTCAGGTATAATAGAAACATCATTGGTGTAAACAACTCTTTCAAAATTCAAATTTCGACAGCCAAAATTCAATAAACTTTTCAAAATTCTGGCTCCTGCAACATTTTTCTTCACGGCACTGTTCTACATTCACAGTTAGCATACCAATCTTATTTATATAATACGCTATATTAGGTTAATACGGTAACCAGGCGATACAGAAATCGTTGGTGAGATAAATATTTTGAGTGAGTGACATTTTTGTGGCGATGATTAAAGAATAAATGCATCGGCAAATGTAAAGAAGACTAGGCATACAATTATTTTTGTGAGATGTTAAGTTAAATCTGCCATACATTTACATGCACATATTTTCTGCTTAGATATAATAGGCATACGTGCTGTAAAATGATCATTGGTCAATAGCATATAACGTACAAGTTCCATTAAGCTATGGGAATCCATCTTTGATACACTACCCCTTGTATACGTATAGTAATATATAGTAATGTTATTCTTTATACCATGATCACTGTTCTTCAAGCATTTTTTACAACTTGATGCAAATTTAATGATACTTGAAATAAAAGCCGAAAAGAAGGGTTAAGTTTAATGTATTTTTTGTTGAATGGTAGATGTGAAATCGATCGGTTATAAGTACACAGGATGTTATTTGGGCGTCATTGGTGTGAAAGAAAAAAAAGTGCAAGGAGTTGAAGGATGCGCTTCTGCTTGCTTGGACGAAATATCAAGTCTTATTTCTTTGAAGGTTTTCAATTAACATCTGTTCTATTTTGATGATGAAATCGTCGAGCACTTTAAATTTTTATTCTACTAAATTGGTTCCTACTTCATTCACATCTAAAGATCATTGAAATAACTGCAAATAAATTATAAATTAAATTGAATAGGTACTTAGTAGTGTTTAAGGAGATAAGCATAAAACTAGCTGATCCTAAAATTTAGATAGAACTTGTACCTTCCCACTTAAGAGCCATTACAAACCTGCAACGTTTCAAGTTAAAATTCCGTGCTTTTTTATTGACACTGAATACCGACTCCACCACATGGTACTATAGCAATGAATACGAGAGAACATATGACGCAGATGAATGGTTCTTATGAATGATTAAATATTTTTGTTTATATATGTACAACAAGAACATTTATTTGTTTACCTACAATTATCCTTTTGTCTCAATTATTTATCTTATATCTTTTCATTAACTATTCATATATCTGCCTGTAGTGGCTTCCACAAGACATACAGCCTTATCTGGTCTCCGCATATTCAACTTCATAACTTTTATTAACTTATTTAATATCTTTTTGATTATGAATAAATTTTAAAAATGAAAAAAAATGAAATGATATTCATTAACAATGAACCACGTGTAACTGCATCTTACGTGCCAGCCATAAAGTTGCCACGAGTGAGTGTTCCACCAAGTGCGCGAGTAACCCAAAAGAACTATGTGGAGGGGAAAATGATTTTGCTGTCTATGAAAGTTGGTCATGCATCATTCATATAATGAATCTTCTGTATGTCAGGCATATGATTTTATAAGAATATTATGGAACTTTTCCCAGTCACGTGATTGTCTGAATGGAGGCACGTAGTTTAAATAATACAGGATTATGCCGTCTTTAATGTGTATAAATGTCAATGATGTATCGATTAGAATGCGAAGAGGTCCCATGCAGTTCTTACTAGCCCAAAATGGAAATTTTATTGACAATTGTCCAATCTAGGAAAATTTTTTAAAATTTTGTACTAAAAATAAACAAGTACTTTCTCTAAAACTCAATAATGACAGATAGAGTCAGAGTTTAGATTTCCAAACATTAAATTCATTTTCATGAAAATTATACAATTATGCAATATCAAGTTTGAAACAGCTTTTTTTTTGAAAGGCTTATCATTCATGAGAAACAAAATTTACATGAAAGTGATACTAGAAAAAGGTAAAAGGTAGAAGCCGTGCAATAAAAGCTCAGTTTAACATCAATATAAAATTACGACGTTCGTATTACAATCTAACACGGATATAAGTTTTCATGGAATTAAAGTTAAAAGCTTTCAGTCAATTAAACTCTTTCAAGCAACTTTTACTCAACGGAAAGAACTTCATGTATGATGTCTTTACGGAAAAAAGTACATAAGAATTAAAAGTATACCAAAATAAATTTTTTGATCATTTGATCACAAAATACTTGACCTCAGGTCTGGTGGTCGGGAATCCCCGATTCGCCAGTGACCGAAGTGGTCCCAAATTTTGTCGTCTCGGTACGTGATTTTTTAAAATTAAACACTATAAAAGACAGAAGCAGAAAATAAAACTTCTGAAACATTTAAAAAAAAATTAAAGTTCATCGATTATTATAATTTACGATGTACATGCACACACTCGATTCATCATTATTATTATTGCTGCTGCGGTTGGTTGCAATCATTACCGTTATCATTATCATTAATTATTATCAGCAATCATTATCATCACAGCCACACACACGGTAAAAATTGTCGCTTCAACCATTTTCCAACCGCAATCATAATTATCGCCCATAGACACCTATCAATGGATTTGGATATATATGATAGGTATCCGACCATGAAACTATTTTACAATGAATTTGATTTTTGAGATATTCATATCGCCCATAGACACTTATCAAGGGATATATATGATAGGTATCTATGACCATGAAACTATTTTACAATGAATTTGATTTTTGAGATATTCAAATAAGAAGCCATCCTATAGAAATGGTACTTTTAAAAGTTTAAAAAAAGAATATAGAATTCAGTGTTATCTACTTTTTATTTTATATCTTGGGAATCAAGACACTCGCTCAGTCAAAAAAATATCAAGGTTGACGTGCTCTAGGAAGGATGATGAAAAAAGTTTTGTAGAAAATGTTAAAACTCAGATTAATTATTTTTCATTTTAAAGAATAGAAAAAATTTAATGACTCAGAAAAGGCAGAAAAATGTAAGCTCTTCTGATGGCAAATTTAAATGAAATTGAGGCAAGATTAATACAATTTTTGAGTTTTATGATTTTCCATATTCTAATTCTATCAATAAATCCAATTTAATAGTAGCAACTAAAACTCTATCGCAGAAATTTAAACTCTTGTGTTATATACTTTATAATATAATATAATAAAACAATATACTTTACATCAGCTGTTTGAGTTGAACAGAAAACATTCAAATATAGCAATCAGTATCTCAAAAAAATGTCAGTTTCAACTTCTATTTTTAAATTAACCTATAAAAAACTAATTGTAAATTTTGTAAGTTTTTGTTGAATTTTTTTTAGTTTGCTGAAGCTCATGTTTAAAATTTGTTAATCAAAACAGTTGAAGAAGAGTACACCGATCATTACAGTCGTATCAGATGCGTGAATAATGATGATAGGATAAAGCCATCAATGAGCTTTGAACTTCCGGAGGTTCTCACAGAAACGCTTTGTGCTGCTACATGCATTGAAAAGAATCGACCGTACGTGGGTCTAATTGTATGTTTTACTTCTAATTACTGATGCTTATTAAAATACAAATAAAATTTCATTTCCCTATTTCTTTCACTCAAGCACATCATAGTTTGACAGGTATTCAAAAAAAACACACAATGCTAAACAGCAATTAATATAACTGAAACTGACATTTTGATGACTATATCTCTTGATGGTTATTCACCAAATGTTCTTAATAGTATGTCCATACATGTCGATGCCTGAATGTTGAGAAGGTGCCAGACTTTTTGCGTTTCGCCCGGATATCAACGAATCGTTGCAATTTCATACCATGCCCTGGCAATGTGGCAGGGAATAACGAGACAAGATCGACTGACTTGGTGTCTAATTCTAACTACTGGCTAATTACGAGGTATTGTGAAAGAAATAAGTAATGACAAATATACTCAAACCAACTAACAAGTAAACTGATTATTAACTTTTTTAAGTTTTTAAGTCACTCAATTATCCAGTTGATTGAGTGAATGATGAAGTGAAAAAAACAAGTGTGTGATAGATGTCTGTCTTTTTTGGTTTATTGAAAGACTTTTACTTAATATTAGATCAGATTAGATTTGATAGATCAGTTGGCTCTCCAGGTGCTTGCTCAATTTTCCAATAGTTCTAGTGTAATTTATTTTAAATATTTAGTGTATATATTTTTCAGCTCATGTTTACGCTTTATTAAGTGTCCATATTCCTCCACATGTAACTTTGCAACGTACAGTTAGATCATATTTTGAATTTCCTGAATGGACGTCTGTGTTGAGGCATTGCCATGGCAGTGATAAAGTTGTTGCTTCTGGAGGATGCACAAACAAGTGCGATCCCGGATGGTCTGGAAAATTATGTAACATCAGAGGTAACATTTTCATTATCTTAAATTTCCCATGTAATTCTTTTAAATAATTAATATTTATTTTGTCTGTTGTTTCCAACTTCATTTTTATATCGCTTAGACGGAAATACCGATAACGTGCTACTAATAATATACAAGGAACTGCTGTAAACATAGAATACAAAGTTACCGCAAATTTAGTTTATTCACCAATTGTGCTAGAATGTGTTCATGGGTTCATTATATTTCACATTTAAAAGTCATTCTCAAAATTTTCAAATTAAACTTCGCTATATTCGAACTTTTTACATGTTGTTTGCATATAAAATGATAAAAGACAAAAGGTGACAATAAAGCGAAGTTTGATTAAGCAAAAAACCACTGGTTTTAATGTAATTTTTTTTTAAATTCGGCAATGAGCAAAAAAGTGGTCAATTTTCTTTTACAAGTTTAAACTCCCGGCCCAACAAATTTCTTATTGAATGACTTTTAATTTGCTCGAAATAAATTGATGGCTCTTAGAGACACTGTGATATGGCATTTTTATTGCTTTGTGAGTACCTTATTTCAATTTTTATGAAAAATAAAATCTTCAATGAACCATTCAATCAATTATTATATAAATAGTTTTGAATTTTATGAGAAATTTTCACATTTGAACAGACTGCAGTGTGAGCAATGGAGATTGTTTAACCGGATTGAAGTGTCAAGAATCAGAGACGCCAACAGGTAGAGTTCACGAATGTTTGTGTCCAGCTGGCCAGGCCAAAACTAAAAATGGAGAATGTGAAGGTTATCTTTTTACGGTTCTTTTGCGATTTTGTATTAAATCAAAAAAAAATTTCTTAAATTCATTATTGCATAAATTTGTCTTGCAAAACAATTTTTAATTCACTGATTATTGAAAAGTTTTAATGAAATTTTTCAAGTTTTTGTAAAAAGAAAGAATGTGGCTCTGTTCAAACCGATTTAATTTAACGGTTATGCGGAATGGTTTTCATACGAAGATGTGGCAACGGACGGTAACCTTGTATTTAAATACTATCACACACAAAGGGAGTTGAATGACAAAGCTTGGTACCTTATCGACCTGCAAAATTTTTATTACGTCGATAAAGTTCACGTGTATAATCATTTTTTAGAGTGTTGTAAGTGGAATCAATTCAGTGAGAGACGGTTAATTGAGAGTTGGTCAAAGTGATTCAATAAAACGGCTGATCCGATTAACCAAAAATTACTTTTTTTAAAAACACGACGTGTTATTTCAAACAAACATTTCTTCCAATAGCGACTATCGTATGGTAGATATTGGGTTGATTATCCGTTTTGAAAACTTTTTTGTATATATTTTATTAATTTTAAAATATTTTAAAATTTTTAAATAAAGTAGAAAATTAGAGACAAAAAATGATTATTATAACGTTGCCTTTCAACATAATCGTTCAAATGTTACGTAAAATCAACATTTTAATAATGTTTGGTTTCAAGTCTCACTGACAATATGGCTTTTCTCATCCAATATCCTTACTTTTTCACTTATTCATTCACTATAACCTCTGTATCATGACATGCCTAGGCATTAACTTTAAAATAACTTTACATAACTTTAAAACATGGATAATACCATACCAACTTTACATAGCCCAACGTAATTGATTGTAAATGAGTTTTCAAAACGCTTTCAAAATTTTGTTAATGTAAAGACGAACTAGAAATAAAAGTGGGTGATTTTTATTGTCAAATTTGCGGTCCAATCAAACAGTTGTTTGTAAATTTCATATATCAATCAAATAAAACTTGAAAAATAAGATTCTATTCCCTTTCAAAAGATTAGCCTGTTATAATAAGCGACTGGTCCAAATAACCAGTTATTCAATTAACCGATTTTTAATATATTGTAATATTAATCTCCTTCTGGAAATAATTTTCTGATTGGCTAGTTTTTTTTATATTTTGCAACGTTGGAACTAGATGCTCAAATGAAAGATTTCATAGTTGGGTTAATGAAAGACAATGAACTGTTGAAAGAAGAGGTAATGAGACATAAATACCACATTTGTGGAGTGTACCCGGGCAACGCTGGACCACCAGGAGTTGCTATGGAGATTGTCTGCCAGAAAACTAAAATTTCAGTATGTTATTTTTCAAGAAAATGAAATCGGTTCAGAAAGAGCACACCTTGCCTTTTGTGAAACAGAAGTTTACGCGAAGGGTTAATGTTACTAAAATTTTACTAAAATACTCAACAAGGTGAATTTGAAATTTTGTTAAATTAGCTAACAGAAATCTCATTTTGTGAAAATGTTAGTTTCATTGTAATACTTTTGCAAAAAGTAGAAAGAGTCAACATAAAAAAATCAAAAACTGAATTGTTAATTTGATTGAATTGTAATGAATTAAAGAAAAAATAAAAACCGCATTTGGTTGAAAAGACAGTCAGACATTAATTATTCTAAAGAGCTGAGGAGTTTATTTTATCTAAGGCTACTCTATTCAAAACGTTTGGAATAACTATAATTAAAAAAAATTGTTTTCAAACTGCATCACACCAATAGTACAAATTTTTAACAACCACGTAGAAAAAATACGACACGTCAAAAAAATTTTATCAACTGAGCTTGCCAGTAATTTGTATTATATTATCAGAATTTTATAACTGCAATTCAATGATATCTGGCATATATCAGATAAGACATAGAGTCGCACCCAACGTTGACACACCAGCATAACCTTGTCAAACTTAGCTAAACTTCATTGGCTTTCTTTTCATTTTGGCATCTCTTCGAAATTGCGTTCTACTCGTTCACAGCTACCACATGCAAGCAACAACGACTAACGTTCCACATTTTCTAGAGCAGAGAACAACAGTGAAAAGCGAGTTTTTTGACATGCTACTCCAGTTATTATCTGCAACTCGCTTCCACCAAACATCAAAAACTGTAACAATCTCAAATTTAACTTAAGGTCATTCTACTTCCGAAAAGTTTTTTCAAAATTCAAAGAATTTATCAGTTTTGAGCCGCTTTCTTCAGCCGCTTTCCATGTTGCTTTTTAAGTGACATTATTATTACTACTACTACTAATACTATTATTATTATAAATAAATGGCGATTAATAAATTAACCATATCACCAACAAATTAATTTAATTTATTTAAAAAAATTTTATTCACAAATTTATTTTTAAAAAAATTTCGATCACAATTGGATTTGATTAAGAAATTTTAAATAATCACATCAAAACAGAAGCAAAAGATTTTGATAAAAGGTACAAAGGCTGCTACGAGGATTTCATGCAAACCACCAAACAATTACCAAAACCAAAGAAAAATGCTTCGAATTTTGTGACAAAAAAGCACCGCTGATGGGGTGGATAGAATCAAAGGTTAGTGAATTACTTCTGCCGTGTATTATTTGTTGTAACAGTTTCTTCGTCTGTCAGATTTTTTAAAGATAGCAAAAATAAATTCATAATATATCCAAAGACATCTCAAAAAATTGTTTTGCGAAATAATGATTTTAGCTTCGACTTGACAAAACTTCTCGAAACTTAGCTGTATTCATGACCAGTCACTTAACGTTTGTAATTTATAGAGCGCCGTTTTTGAAACGTTCAGCGGTGTTAATAAACACTAGAAAAACGCACTGTGTATAGTTTTAAATATGTGCATGGGCCTTCCTGCTATAGATTTTTTTTTCACGTTGAATATATCTATAACATGACGGCCTAGAAGCAATAAGCTTGGTATTGTTATGGGTTTGTTTAGTTCAGACCTTTATCTGGATTATGGGAATTTCTATGACCAATAGTCGTTGTCCAAAGATCCAAAGAGACGTGGGTGAATGTCTTGAAGAATAAAATTTGTAGGCTACGTATAAAATTTACCTTTTTTGATATCTATCTCTAAAAAAATATTCATCATAAAAAACTCATTTTAAGTGTTTAGCAATTAAAATTGCTAAAATAGATTAGTAAATCAAACGAATCTTAACATACTGCGTGAACACACGCAACTTTCAACAAATCGGTGTAAAAAAAGCTCATAGGTTTTGTAAAAATCAATAGATACTTCAATAAATTTTGAATTTTTCTAAAACTAGATTTCCATAATAATATTGCAATAAAAATGGCCGAGCGTGAATTTTTTTTACAAATTAACTGAGACTGAGTGACCAATGTTTAATTTATTATTTACAATATTTAGTTAACTGATGGATTAAATTTTTGTTGTATCAATGTGTCAATTTCTCAAATTAAAAATAACCACTCGATTAAATTTCGTTTGCAAGTTGCCGATGTTTTGTTTAGGAGAGTAAGCTCCTGGAAATAATGCTATTATTATGTACACTTGACTTTTAATTTAATATAAACAATGTCTGATTGATGGAACTTTTGTTAAATATCTATAGACCGTGTTATTTTAGACAAAAGGAGAGCAAGAAAAAATATATTTAGACAAAATAAATTTGAACAAAATGGATTTTAGACAGAATGAGTTGAAGAAAATGCACATGAAAAAAAACGCACGTAAGATTAAATAAATATAGAATAAATTAAATTTAAGCACAGTTACTTAGACGAAATGAATTTTGAAAAAATAAAAGTGAAAATGAAACACATTAAGATACAAAAAAAATTTAACAAAGTTAAAACTTACAAAAATCTTTCAAAAACGATTTCAATTTTTCAATGCATAAAATTCCGAACAGTTGATTCTCCACCTGGCATGAGTGTTGAGTGTTTCAAGATTGAGGACGTCACGAGTGACTGGCCGTACGAAGTTCTGAGTGACACAAAGTTGACTTTAAAGAGTTGCTTGACTGTGTGTTACGAAAAAAATTTCAGATATGCCGGCATATTGGTTTTATTTGTTTGTGTGCATCTCTCTTTGTTGTACGATGGTTTTTAAGTGCCACTTTTTATTCTGCTGTTTTTCATTTTTTTATGTTTACTGTTCTGTTGATTTTAAAACACCGTTTCATTTACACAATATTACAACTTTAATTTTATCAAATGTTTACAAAAATACTGTAACTCAAAAACATGTTTTTAAAATTGATAAACGAAATTTAAAGTCTGGAAGTTACTGTTTCCGTGGCAATACTTACGGTAAGCTAAAGAGTGCCTCAGAGAATGAATGCAGTGAATTGTGCCTTGACTACAGAACCAAAAAATGTGGCGGAAAAAATACCACAAACGTTTACGAGAGTAAGCTCTTTTCGATTAAACTGTTGAAAAGCTATTGTGAGTACGAAACACTTTCAAATTGAAAATCGATAATTTTTAACAACGGAGCTGCTTTTGTTAAACACTTATTTTTATTTTCAAAAAAATATACAAAATATCAAGCGTTCAAATTAGTTCTCAGGTGCTCCATTTTGGTCGTCATAGACAACAAATTCTTCTGGTCTTGACTGGCGCGAATTAACATTAAACAACGAAAGTTGCCTCGTTGTTGCTTGCTGGTTTATATAGCTAATCGCCGCGTGCCTAAAAGCCTAAAATAGGGATGGGCGATTGTGCATGCGGTCCAACAATACTTTTCCGCTAGATCGTCAGCTGGAGCTGTTGATCGAAAGTACATTCTAAGATGACAACAGATACTAAAATATTTTGCTGTTTTTCAGTTTGACTAAAATCACAAAGAACAAAAAAACTTTATAAAAACACTTGACAATTTAAATAATTATTTAATTAAAATAATTTGTTAACCGGAAATCTTTTTATATGGATGAATGAATTCAAGTATGCTGCTCAACTACTTTTCATGTTTTTTGATCGATTATATTTCTACAATGTTATTTTAATTCAACATTTCACGACATCCTTATCTCAAGAGAAATTTATTTTTTTATTTCCAAGCAACAAACCCAGATAATCCAAACGACTTACCAAAACCTCACTGTTCAAACGGCTCAGAGTTAACAGAAAAGGGAACCTGTGAATCTGAGCAATGTGATATAGGCTGGAAAGGTTTAGCCTACAACACAAAAGGTTTGTTAAAAAATACATTTTTTGATATCTACTAAGTTTAAGCATGTTTTTTTAGCACTTTGTTATTTAATTTAAAACAGATTGCAAAGCTGGTAACGGTGATTGTAATGACATGGTGTGTATACAGAGTAAGATAGGCGCTAGGTTAATCGCCGAATGTCTTTGCAAACCCGGCTACGTCAAAAATAAACAATCCTTTTGTGTTGGTAATAAAAATTGGTTTTATTTTTAAATGCAATTCATATTTTTCAGTTGTGTAATTGTCAAAACTAAAATTTAACTTAGACAAGCTATCCAATGATTATGATTGATAACTTCCTAATTTTTTGTTATGATTGATAACTTTCTAACTCTGCCTAATAACTTGCTAAATTGATGACATCACCCACAATCCACACGATGGTTGAAAAATGAACTGCCGTATTTTGTGGAAGCAGCACACTGCAGTCTACTGTTTGACAACTAAGACGGTGCTAATAATAAATTTCTGAAACATTTTTTAACGATCAGTTGAATAATTAAATCCAGTCACGAAAAAAAAGGAAAGAACGTTACTTATGCACAATCCATTTTGGACCGCTGTGGGCAGCCATAGTTGTTCTCCTACTAATTGCAGTGGGATCTGTTGTAGCCTTTTTCCTCGCTCGAAAGCACCGGCTGAAAGGTGTTTCATTTCATACATCGTTATACTTTATACTTGCATTGTACAGCTATATTAATAAATGTTGTGTCACAGTTTAAATTATTTTATAGATTAATTTAACCTGTAGAAATAAATTAAACATTTAATAATAGCGCTTGTAATGTTTCTTCCATGTTGTTTAACAAATTTTATAACGCTGAATTTAATTTTTAATTGCAATATTCAAAAATAAATAAAATGATCTTTTCCATTTTAAAAGAATCTAGGCTATCGACGTCGGATAACCAATCCTCGATCAGAACAGTTGATGACCAACCTCCCTCACCTTCAATCCAACCTCCCTAACCTTCAATCCAACCTCCTTCACCTTCAATCTAACCTCCCTCACCTTCAATCAATGAACAACCATAAAATGTTACTTGGGTCTAATTAGCAAAGGTTTATTTTACAAAAATGACTATCAGTTTATTAGGAAGACACAGAAATCTTTATTGTCATTTTGTAAAGCTTATTTTGAACAAACTATACGATTTTTAGATTTTATTGCCGAAATTACGTGATAAATATTATACTCTAATTTTTTGAATAAAAAACAGCTACAACCAATTTCAATTGAACTACTTTACAGCAATGTCACTCTAATTAACACTTTGCAACTAGTCCAATTTAGCACTACAACTAATTTATGATTTAATCTGTATAAACTATTAATTCATAAAATTTTGATTAAACGGTATAATGTTCAAAATTGGTGTTGTAATTTAGCAAACACTAGACAATTATATAAATGTTTTAGCACTTTTATAATTATGTAGAAATGTGAACTACAACTATTTAAGCTCTCTCCACAAAGTTAAATTTGGCATAGAACCAGTGGCTCAATTGGACAAACTTTCAGAGTGGGGGGGGGGCAAATAAAATACTTATGTAGCAGCGTAAGACACAGCAAGCACTCGTTCAAAAACAAGACAAGTTAATTTTCCAGACCAGGTATTATTTCGAACAATAGTAGATTTTCAGCTTTCACAAAAATGTTGTGAAAGACATTATTGTCATTATGTCGATAATGGTTTAAAATTAGCGCCATGTCAGAAACTTTTTCAATATACTGAAGAGTATCTACATGCGGATTCTGAAGAACTTTTGAAATAGGTAAAACTAACGTATTGAAACGAGCAGATATACACAAAAATATTACAAATTTTGATTGATTAATAGCGACCAAAAGCTATTCTGCTTTACTAGCAGCATTTGCATCCTTCCAATTATTGATTTCTTCCAGTGTGACTTTGATTGTCGGATATAATTCAACAAATTACAAGATATATTTTTCAATGGCGGCTAAGCGTGTTTGTATTGCGGAAATTTTATGGTTTTTGTTAAATAATCAAGAAAATTTAAATGACGAGGGTTTTAAATTGGAAGTTGTAGAATTCTATACTAATGATGAAATACTTAATGGTAAAAAAATTTTATTAACTGAAATAGAAGGTTTAAAAAAAGATAAAATTAAGTTAAAGGCTCGTGGTAATACCAAATATGATAAAGTTAGTGAACTTTTGGAACTTATTAAATTATGTTTTGATAATAATTTGATGGACCTGTTACCTACATTTACAATATATAATATATACCGAATACCTTTAAGACTAGCGAGAGATAATAGCAAAAATATTAATGATAATTTAATAAAATTAAATGATAAAATAGAGAAAAATAAACAATTGATTGTGCAATTAGCTAAACAATTGAATAATAGAAGCGATAGTGCACGAACGTGTAACACATGTGAACAACAAAGCAATAACGGTAAAGATCGTTTGCAACGTATTGAAAGTGTAAACAGCGCAAGCCTTCTTTCAGGTGATAATGTTGACAACTGCGCTAGTAAAAAATCTTGGGCCGACAGAACCGCTAAACGCTACACGTCGCAAAGTGAGTCGTGTGATGAAATTATCGGCGACGATGGTTTTCAAGTGGTGAGAAGTAAGAAACGAAAAAAATCGTCAACCTCTCCACAACTGGCATCCCCAAAACCTGCGTCAAAACCAACTTCAAAACAAATGAAAACCTACGGTACTGGCATCAGCTGTCCATTGAAAGCGTCGAAAATAATAGAGGAAAAAATTACCTATTATATCGGAAATGTCAGTACATGCAACAAAAATATAATTGAGGACCATCTGAAACAAAACATAGCTTTTTTTTACAATGCTTTCCTGTACTCCGTAAGAAAAATCCGGATGATCCTTTGGTAGAGAAAAGTCAAACTACGGAATCGACGGCTTTCAAAATTATAATACCTTTGAATGAACGTGAGAAACTGGTTAATCCTGACATATGGCCCATGCACACGTTCTTGCGCGAGTGGGATTACACATGTCAGCAAGTAAGAAGAAAGATGGAAACTTTCGGCCAACAACAATCAACATCAATCATGGAGGCAACAGCTGATAACTATCCATTAAACTCTGTTTTTAAAGATTATAAGTATTTTACATCTGAAATTATTATCAATAACTTAATCAAACCTCAATTACATTTAGTTCAAAACAATATATCGATTTTGCATATAAATGCGCGTAGCTTAGTTAATAAAATGTCAGCACTTAACATATTATCTGATCAATTTTATAACTTTTTTAATATTATTGTGATAAGTGAAACTTGGTTGAATGAAAATACGGCTGATTGCATAAACTTACCTGATTATAAATTTATATATAAAAATAGAGATGTTGGACAGGGTGGTGGAGTTGGTATATTTGTAAAAAGTGGTTTTGATTGCTCTGTTTGTGATGATAATGTACTTAGTGATGAATATGTAGACATGTTATGCATAAATATAAAATCAAATTTTTTCTACAAGTCAACAAATGTGATTGCCTTGTATCGTCCGCCAGACATTAATTTTAATTATTTTTTAAATAAACTTGAACTGGTTTTGGGTGTGCTAAAGCCAACTCAACAATCTTATATTGTTGGCGACTTTAACACTGACTTGCTAAACGTAAACTCACAAAACATAATAATGTTTGAAAATTTATTGTCCTCTTATGGTTATATTCCGCTAATAGAATCTCTTACTCGTGTAACTCCTTCTACAGCGTCACTAATTGACAATATATTCACAAATTCGTCTGAATCTTTTAATAGTGGAGTAATCATCTCAGACTTCTCCGATCACTTTCTTATATACTCAATATCTAATAATCCAAATCTGCTAAACCGTTCTCATCAACTTCTTAATAAGCGAAATTTAAGTAAAAAAACTGTAAATCAAATTAAAACCCATCTTGCAGCAGCTGACTGGACTCCTTTAATGAATGATCGTAATCTCGATAATGCTTGCTTATCCTTCTACAACATAATTAATAACTCACTTGAACTGTTTGCTCCTTTCCAAACTTATAAACCTAGAAACAAAAAATCATGGATAACAATTGATATTTTAAAAATGTCGAATAAACAGTATAAATTGTACAAGAAATATCTACTTAATCCGACAACTGAAAATTTAAATAAATATAAACTGTTCAGAAACAAATTTACAACATTTAAACGACATAACGAAAATAAATATTTTAACAAAAAGTTCCTAGACGCCAAAAATGATGCAAAGAAAAAATGGAATATTATAAACAATATACTTAATAGAAAAAAGAATACATTTAGCATAAGTAGCATAAAAATTGATAATAATTTAATAGAAAATAAAAAAGAAATATGTGATGAATTTAACAACTACTACATCAACATTGCCAAAACTTTATTGGATAATCAAAATAAACCCAAACATTATCATGAGAAATTTAAAATTGCAAATTCAATATGTCAATCCATCTTTTTAAGACCAGTTGATGAAATAGAAATTTTAAATATAGTTAAAAATATGAAAAACAAAACAAGTATTTCTCAGGATAACTTAAGTAATTACTTAATCAAACAGATGATTAATGAAATAATAAAGCCTTTAACATACATATGCAAACTTTCTTTCTCACAGGGCTACTTTCCTCAATGCTTTAAGACCGCTAAAGTAATACCAGTTTACAAAAAAGGAGATCGGTTAGATATATCTAACTACCGCCCTGTTTCTCTTCTCTCGTCTATTTCAAAAATTATAGAACAATTGATGTGCCAGAGATTAAAATCTTTTATACAGTTTAAAAATATTATTCATGAAAGTCAGTATGGATTTCGAGCAGACCACTCAACGGAGCTTGCTATAGTAGAATTTTCGCAGAGAGTGATGGAAAAATTGAATGAAAAGATCTTCACACTAGGAATTTTTATAGATCTATCAAAGGCATTTGATCTAATAAACCATGAAAAACTGTTAAGAAAACTCTATTCATACGGTATAAGAGGAGTTGCATATAAATGGTTTTCCTCTTACCTTGGAGAAAGAAAACAATATGTCTCAATCGAAACCTATGAATCAGAAAGGCTCCAGATTAACTGCGGAGTCCCACAAGGCTCCATATTAGGACCAATACTTTTTACCTTATTTATAAATGATCTATGCCACATAACTACATCAGCTAAATTTTTATTATTTGCTGATGACACGACTATATACTTTCATA